GGGGAGCAAAGAGGGAGGGGGGGAAATGAGGACCTAATGCTGGGGCCTTAAGTGGAGATCAAATGTTTTGAGAATGACGAGGGCAATGAATGTACAAATGTGCTTTACATAATTAATGTATGTATGGATTGTGATAAGAGTAGTATGAGCCCCTAATAAAATGATTTTAAAAAAAGAAATGGGATAAATGACGGTCCATTGAGGGGATTGCAATAGACGAGTTGAAACAAAATGTGTATAAATTGTTGAATGATGATTTGCTCTGTAAATGTTCACCTAATTCACAATAAAAATTTCTGGGGGAAAAATAAAAATAAAAATCTGGCCAGTATGAATGGCAGCTGAGCATTGTTAAATATAGTGCCAAAAGATGAGCCCCACAAGTTGGAAGGCACTCAAATAGGGCTGAAGAAGAACTGCCTCCTTTACGTTGAGTTGACTTCATTGAAATGGATGCAGTAAAGCTTTTGGGACCTTCATTTTCTAATGTGGTATGACAAAATTAGAAGAAGAAGCTGCAATAGTAATTACTAATTACTATTAGCAATCAAAATGTGAACTTATTAAGTATGAATCTAGGAAAATTAAAAGTTGTCAAAATGAAATATAATGCAAAGAGATCAATATTCTAGGTATTAGTAAACTAGACCAGCATTTTGAATCAGATAATCACATGATTAACTGTCATAGGACAAATTCAAGAGGAATGATGTCTCATTCATTATCATAAAGAATATTTCAAGATCTACTCAAGTATAATACTTTCAGCGTTTGGATAATATCAATATGCTTACAAGTAAAACCAGTTAATACAGCAGCTTTTTAAATTTCCACACTTTCCATTAATGCCAAAGATGAAGAAATTGAAGAATTTCACCAACTTCTGCCATCTGAAATTGATCAACAATGGAATAAATATTCATTGATTGTTACTGGTGATTGGAATGCTAAAATTAGAAACAAGGAACCATACTCCTTGCCATCAAGTCAATTCCAACTCAACAATCTTATTGAACTGCCTCTGCAAATTTCTGAGGTTGTGA